CCCCAGACAACATAGCCCCTGGGATCCCTGGGACACACAAACCCCTCCACCACGATAAGGTAGCGATTCACGGAGAGGAGTAATAAAACAATCATTATCAAATTCTGATTTGCCATAGATAAGGTGATTTTATAGGTAGGCTATCATGTAAAAATCTGCTACATAACATTTATAACTGAGTGTAAAAATACTAATTTCTTTTTCATGTGGTTTAAAGGTCAGCTATGGATACTCGGCTGCGAGAATTTTTAACAGAGCGCAAAGTTGAAGAAGATGCGATCAAGAAACTTGAAGATGAGAATGTAAGCGACTGCAGCTGTTGCTGTGTGTTTGCGTGTGTGTGTCTGTGTGTTTGTTTGTGAACGGAGAGCCGCAATCCACAATTTACTATGCGCATTCTAAAAAAAATTATTGAATTTCATATTTTTGTTTAATCAATGACATTAATTAATGACATATGTTTAAAGAGTAATTTAAAAAGTAATTCTTGTTCATCTTATGTTGGACAAATGTGTACCACATTACCAAAAGTATCTGTTATCAAAAGTAAACTCTAAAATATGCAGTTGTATGTATTCATTGTTTTTTTTTTTTTTATATTGACAATTTTATTAATTTGTTGTTTATATATTTCAGATTGATGAAACTGTCATTCCATTAATGACAGACAGTGACCTGGCAAAGTACATCCCCAAAGTTGGAGATAGAGTCTCCACTGTGGCCTTCTGCAGACAAGCAACACTGTCATGGACTGTCAATAGAAAATTGTACTTAGTAGTCAGTATAATCTTTTAATAATATAAGTTTACATATGGTAGTGACAGGATGTGCGATCCTTAATAGTCTGCAAAGACTTTGTGTGCATTCCAGAGTGCTCTAGGATTCACAACCACATCCTGGAAGCATGGGAAAGGTCGTACCTTCTTTTATTGTTTTACGGTAGGATAAACATAGCTATGTCAGTTTTAGTCTAAGTGCCTTTTTTACATATAGATGAACTGTTGGATTTTCCAGACCAGCAGATTTAGGGAAGTCGTTTATGGGGTCACACTCTGACACACACATGCACACACACACATACATATACACCTCCACATTCCAATGTAAGGAACAAACACCCACTGATGTATAAATAAAGACCAGGGCAGTCTCAGAGCTGCGAGTCTCATAGCTCTCACTCTCAGTGCGAGTGCTCTGTACTGCCCTTGCATGCAAGTAAAACTGTGTGTTTCTCCTCTCTGATTCTCAGCTGAAGAAGTGTCTTAGAATACATCTCTTGACACGGACATCACCATCCAGGAAAGAATCTATACTCTCAAGGCTACAACAAAGACTGACAGGAGCTGAGGGAATGCCTTCTAAAAAGAGATTGTCTCAGTGGGCAGAAAATACAAATGCAAAACGAACAGTGAGACGAATTGAGGTTGGCTGGATGGATTTTGATGAGGAGAAGGACGGGTTCAAACAGGTGAAGTCTGTAAGTGGTGGTGGAACAAGGCATTTATCTGTAGATAAAAATGAAACAGTGTCAAATATCAAACTTATGGCTGAAAATCTTTTTTTCCCCAATGGCATCTCAAAAAAACCCAAAAGTCTTTCACACTATTCAACTCATATTGAGAGCTCACAGATGCATGTGGATGCTTCCAGTACAGTTGATGAGTTTTATTTTTTATATGACCAAAGTAAGGTCAAAATTCTGCGACTTTATCTGTGTACCAGAAAGAAAACACAACAGCAGCCCCAAGATGTAGAGGCCGATCATGCAATAACCCAGCCCTCTGTGGTAGATCTCACTGACAATGAACGTAATCAGGCCGCTGATGATCTGTTGGTGGAAAACATAAACTCAGAACCATCAAACCACTTTCTAATTAACGATGGAGCTTCCATAAGTGGATATTTGGAACTGAATGACACATTACCATGGGATGGTCTGCCAAATGTAGGTGAAAGTGAAGATTCTGATGCAGTTGTTAATATTAGTGGGGATAACAGGGTGGATATTAGTGTGG